ATTATTATCTATATTATTTAATGAAAGAATTCTAATTTTGATCTAATAATTATGTATATAATTTTTTGATTACTATTATTTTATGTTTTTACAACAAATTAATAACTTCTTTAATATTTAATTATTTTAAAAAATTTAATATTAATTAATATTTATTTTATTTTACTAAATAAATAAAAGTAATTAATAATTAATATTACTTTATATAATCAATATTAGAATTAAATTAATAAATTATATTTTTACAAAATTCTTATTTATATTTTGCTTTAAAATTATAAATTATTCTTATATTAATAAGGTTGTAGTATTTAATAAAAAATATACTAATTTAATATTAGTAAATTTTGATTTTTTTATTTTTTTTTATTATTAACTTAATTCTTAATTAGGCTGAAATAATTTAATTTTTTATTTTACATTTCTTACTTTCTTGAATTTCTCAAAAAATTTGAAAAAAAAATATTTGTATGATCAAAAATTTCAGCTAATTAAAAATGTTATAATTTTTAATATAATTTTTATTAGTTTAAGAGTAACTGTAAACTAATTTATACATAAATTGATTTAAAAATAGAGTTTAGATTGAAATTTAAACCTGAATTTATATATTGATATATTGTATAATATCTTAATTAAAAAAATTATATAATTATGTATCATATAAGATAAGTATTGAAAAAAGAGATCAAATCATTAAAAAATTATTTTTTAAATAATAAAAGTTCTAGATCAGATAAGATGATCAAATTTAATTTCACTTAAGAATAATTTTTTGAAAAAATTTTAATTTAATTCCTTTTCTAGTACTTATTCTATATATTAAAAATTATTATTTTTAAAATAATTATTTAAATAAAAAAACAAAAGAATTAAAAAATTAAATAAAAATATAAAAAAATAATCAATCAATAAATTTACATAAATTAGTATAAATGTAGTAAACTAATTTGATTTAAAATAAAATCAGTTTAAATTTGTAAATTTTTTAAATAGAATTTTTATTTTTGGCTATTATTTAGATTACTAATTATCAATTTTTTTTAGAATTTTTGGCTAGTTATGATTTTATAAAGGTGCTTAGATTATTAATTATAATTTTTTGCAATAAAATTTATAAATTGTTATACTAAAATAGTAAAATAATTTTTTTAAAAAAATTTATTTAAAAATAATTCATAATTTTATTTTAATAGAGCTCAAAATATAAAAATAATTTTTTACATAATTTTAAGATTAGATTATTTTTTATATATAAGTTCTTTTTTATATACTGTAAATAGATGCAATTTTTAGTAAGATAAATCTGAATTTTTATTTATTTATTTTTTTGCTTGATACAATTTATAGTGTGATAAAGCTGTAAATTTTGTATTTTTTTTTTTTATTTTTTAAAAAAAAACATTATGAACCTATCTATATAAGAATTATCTATATTACTATGTATGATTTTAATTTATTAAACTTTTATAACAGAAATTTTTTTTTTTAAAATAATAAATAATACAATAAATTATTTCTAATTATTTTATAATTTCTTATAAATAATATTTTATTAACTTTACAAAACATAACATTAATTATTCTTAATTCTTATTCTTTTTATTTAAATCAAAATATAATATATTGTGTAATTGATTATTACTAGTAAACAACTTAGATGAATTGCAAATTTAATTAAATAAATTTTATTATGATAAGTCTGATGTAGAAATATTGTATAATATTACGCACCCATCAATGTTTTATAATTCTGGATGACTTTTATATTTTTCACCTTCATATACAAAAGTACCATTTGAATATATTTCATCCAATTGGTCTTCCAATTTTTGATTAGTTCCTCTTGCACCTACAAAGCAAATTTAATCTTTAAAAAAAAAAAAAATTTGGATTTTAAGAATTTGCATCGTATAATTACTTACCATCTGTTACTTGCTTAGCCCACATAAAGTATTCTTTTAAAAATAAATAAGTTGGTTAATAAATGAATGAAAAAAGATATAATGAATCATGAAAAGTACCTTGAATTCTTTTTTTTGACCATCCTACGGGTGCCATTCTTTGCACATCTCTAAGGTTATACAGCTTATCAGCTAATTTCACTTCCTTCGCCTATAAAATATAAGATTCAAAACTACATTTCCAACTTTCATTCATCGTTATCAACAGGAATGTATCACATACCTTTTTAGATTTATGTGGAATAGTTTCAATTTGTAATCGTTTACGTTCAGATTTCACCAAGGTTTTATCATCAGTACATTCCGCTACAATATCTCTAACCTCCCGTCCGAATTGCTGTTCGATCTGTTATGTAAAGAAACAAAAAAATTAATGATCATGATAATATTTAAAACTTAATAATATAGATTATAACCTCTTCAAAAGACGTATCCGTATCCTCTACCGTATCGTGCTTAATTTTTAGGAAAAGTTAATAGAGTTGAATACGTGAAATCTTTAAATACCATTTAAAAATCTACCAATATCGCTGCCTGTATAGTTGCAAAGTCATAGATTCCAGCATCGGTAAGATTTTTGGCCACACCAATCGGATGATTGATATAAGCTAAGTTTTCACCACATAAAAATAAAATAAATCCCTGTTAATTTTCGCGAAAACCGCCACACGAAAAAATAATAACTTACGTGTTCCTTGAGGATCATTACGTTTCTGAAACGAGTGTTTCTTAGCAGCAAAGTCTATTGTGTCAATTAATTTTGAGATATCGAAGGAGGCATTAGAAACGGGGGTTTCTTGAGAATCCATAATAAATTTAAACGTTGATTTCGAGATGATCGATGTTAATGCTACTCGTGACTCGTGGCTCGTGCGACATTTGGTCAATTTACCGAATAAATAAAATAAATTTTTTTTTTTTTAGATATTTACACGTCTTTTAATTCGAAAATTTGTAAAGAAAAGTTATTTTTTTTTAGTCAAAATATTAATTTAATTTTTTTTAAAAAAAAAAAGGCACAAACCCACCCTTTATATTTACATAAATAATTTTTTTACTGAATTTTTGTTTAAACTTTTTTTCGTAAACCTCCAATAAATCGTGTAATTACTTAAAAAATGAGCGAAGGTAATTAAATAATTTAAAACTTGAACTTAATGAAAGGAGAATTAGCTAATTGATTGTCGTTTAATAGAGTTATCAATTAATGACACCGAGCAATTCGATATTGTCACGTGCTATCAGAAATTTTTGAAGGATAGCCCCGTACGTCTTTTTATCTTTTTTTATGAATTCGGTTTTTAATCACGAAAGAAATTGATTTTTAATTTCATTTTTATCGGTGATTATCTAAATTGGGTGCTGTGAATGTAACAGGATATGTCGATGCCCATCGCGGCAATAGAATCGTTGGTTGAATTAATAAAGCATAGTAAAGGTAGATGATGAAAGAGTTATTATTGTCTATCTTTCAATTAATCAAATACCGCACCTCATTCACTTAAATACACGTGAATTTAGCAACGACTTTATCAGAATTCATGGAATCTCTCAAGGATGCAAGTCAAAAACTTAAATCTTCTGTAAGAAATTCGATTTCATTATCGGCAGGTGCTGATCTATTCTTGAGATTCGTTACGAGGACTTCTCATGATGTAACGGTACGTGATCACATTAAAATCGTCTCGTGTTATGTTTTACATTCTTTAAATTTATGATTTCATGAAATTAGAATTTTGAAGCTTGCAAAGTACATTTGATAAATAGTGGAAAGGTGTTGGTCGAAAAGGCTACAGCGGTTAGACATAAAATTGCCGAGATAGGTGTACAATTTATTAAAGATGACGCAGTAAGTTTCTAATTCAAATTTATATCTAAAGATAAAGTAAAAGATTTTCAATTAATTTCAATTAATTTAAAGTTACTTTGGACAAATTGTAGACAATACTGATTCATTCGTATTCTCGTGTGGTGATGTTGCTTCTTCAACAAGCGGCTGCCCGCAAGAAACGATTTAAAGTCTATGTGACAGAATCGAGGCCAACATCATTAGGGTGAGAAAAAGTAAAATACACGTGCTGAGGCATTTAAAATTGATTAATTATAATTAATTATTCAATAGGGTTCAGTCAACAAAAATATTACGTAAAGCTGGTATCCCTGCCACTGTCATACTTGATACAGCTGTTGGTTATATTATTGATAAAGTTGATGCTGTGTTCGTTGGTGCTGAAGGTGTTGTGGAGAATGGTGGTTTAATCAATGCGGTATTATGGATTTCAAAATTTTTACCTCCATTTTATCCTCTATATTAATAATCATATCATTTAGATTGGAACTTATCAAGTTGCTGTCGTTGCTAAAGCTGCCAACAAACCATTGTATGCTGTAATCGAGAGGTAGTCAAGCATCTTATTTTACTTTTTTTAAACTCACACGATATTCTTAAATCAAATCATTATTTTGTTTTCTTTTTTTCCAGTTACAAGTTCGTTCGTTTATTTCCACTTAATCAATATGACCTTCCAACGCACACTCCTGATTTACTGACGTTTCCGGATTTGGAATCTCCTCGTTATCTCTCCAATAATGATGAATCTGAGGATGATGACGTTGAAAATTTTGAGGTAATTCATTAGTTACAGTTATAGCGTGTCGTGATTGACTTTCGTAATATTTAATTGAGATTGATATTTTAATATTAGGCCAGTAATCCGACTGTGGATTATACCCCCCCGGATTACATTACATTGTTGTGTACTGATTTGGGTGTGTTAACTCCATCCGGTGTTAGCGATGAATTAATTAAATTATATTTGTAATTATTCAATTTAATCTTATGTATTTCGTAACGTGAAAATATCCACCCAAAAAAAAAAAAAAAAAAAAAAAAAAAAAAAGCAATTTTAAATATAAAGTAAAATAAGATATTTTTAAAAAGGCAATGAAGGCTTGTTCTTTTTCTTTTCTTTGATTTTTTCCTATTAAAATAAATTAAAGTAAATTGGATGTAATATGTATTGAAATACGGTACGGTTAACTCCTTACCATTCTCCAATTTTCGATAACTGTTGGCATCTCTTCCAAAGCTTTCTGAATTTTCGCTTTCCTAAAGTAATTCGAGATAATGTGAAATTTAAAAATCAAATAAAATTATATTTATTTTTTCCCGGAAAAACGTTCTTTACCTCTCTGGGGCGTTCCTTTCATGCTTAGCACCTTTGGGAGGTTTTGTTCTAGGAGGCTTCTTTTCTTTCTTTGGTGGAAGTCCCATCTCTTTCGGATCCATACCTAAATATTCAGCATTTTTCCTCATGTCGGCCAATTTACGTGAGGATACTTTTGGGTGCATATATCTCTTACGTCCCCATATATTCCTATATATAAAAGTTGGTTTGAAATCTGAGGGTTTGTAGGTTTTTTTTAAATGACAAAGTACTTGTCTGGAAATTCGTTTGACGGCCGACGACATTATGTCGTGGTATAAACGATGGAGAAATAAAATTTAAAAAAAAAAATTTATTTTATCGTCCAATCAAATTAATGCTCATACATTTAACAATGATAATCTTTCATTTGAAAACATTATATTTTTCTCATCTTAGCATAGTTATTTATATAATTTTATATCCTTTTTTTTTTATTATTTAATTTTATTTATTCAAATTTTTTTTTTTTTTAGAAAACAGATTTTGCATAGTAGTAAGGAAGAAAAAAAAAGTTGTTTACAAATAGTACATAAGAAAAAAAAGAAAGAAATCAATACATAGAAAAATCTTCACTGAACTTTCTATAAAAAAAAAAATGATCCCAAGCAAAGATAAGGATTATGTGAAGGAGTTTTTTTAATCAGAGGAAATGAAGTTTTTTTTTTTAAAGAAAAAAAAAAAAAAGGTTAAAAGAAATAAATGTTCGAAAAAAATTTTTTTTTCTTTTCTTTTTCTTTTTTTCTTTTTTTATATTAAAAAAAAAAAAAGAAAGAAAGATAAGAAAAAAAGCACTTGTACAGAAAAAAGAAATTAGCGATAATTACAAATTCACAAATTGTACAAAATAAGAATTAACCAATTATCCCCATAAGTCCATAAAAACCTATTATCAAAATAGTAGTAATAATACAAATGTAATCCAAATTATGACGATGCCGAACCACTACCGCTTGTAACGACCTGTCCAACCGTCGTTACATTAGCAGATGTTGCAGCCATGGTTGTGGTGGTGGTATTTGTGGCTACTACGACATTATTATTATTATTATTATTATTGACTCCATTATTGTTATTGCTATTATTATTTCCAATAGCAATAATAAATCTATTATTATTTCCTACAATTACATTATCATCA